TGGGCATCTAAGAGGGTGGGTAGGGACTGAAGAATTTCTCAAGGTTATTGCACCTCTGGAGTAAAGAGCACAGACGAGCTGGGCCACGGCAGGTCTATGGGAAAACTGGGACTGAATGGGACTGGCAGTGGACTGACCGAGAGGCCACTCGATGGGCTGACCTTTAGGAATACGTCCCCAGTTAGTGTATTACTCTGCTAGAGCTACCCCTTATCAAGTCTGACAGATTGGCTGGCTTCAGCAACAGTTATTTCCTCAGTTCTGGAGGCCAGAAATCTAAGATGAAGGTGTGGACAGGGTTGGGTTCTTCTGAAGGCCTCTCTCCTTGGCTTGTAGATGACCATCTTCTCCATGTGTCTTCACATGGTCTTACCTCTGCGTCTGTCTCCTAATCTCCTCCTCTAAGGATTAACAGTCATATTGTGGATTTAGGCCACACCCATACACACTCATTTTACCTTCACCACTTCTTTAAAGGTGCTATTCCCCAAACACAGCCATATTCTGAGGTCCTGGGACATGGGACTTCAATTTATGAATGTTGGGGGAAACGATTCAGCCCATAATAGTCAGCAATAAGGAGAGGGAGAGAAGGGAGGCGTGGGTATGACTGGAGAAACTGAAGCACACTGGGCATTTGCGGGAGAGAGGAGATTTCATCTGTGTCCCCCCATGTCCAGAATGCCCTGCCTCTCCTCTGTCTCTCAGGGCTTTGACCCCAGGCTCCATTTCTGTTCTGAAGGTTTGTGGTCACTCCAGTCTCAGTGATTTTCAGTCCCAATGATGTGTCTTTCTAATTCCGATGCAGAGCACTGACTAGCTGCACCACGGACCTGGCCCTGAACCCCAGGTGGCCTTGTGGTGGCCCTTGATGCCTTGCACATTGCTGTACTTGAGGCCTCGTCTAGGTCACAATCCATGTCCCTTGCTTAGTTCACACTCACCTTCCGTTGGTTCTTTCTAGGAGCCATGCCCTGTGCTGCTGTTGGTCAGGGCCTTTGGAATACTCATCCCCTCTGCCCCTGTGGCTGCCCAGCCCCATCTATATTATAAAGAGGTAATATGCAAATTAGGCCGGGACTCCGTAACGGGTCACTACCAGACAGGAGGTTGCACACGCAGATGAGGCCTGGAGCGGAGACGAGACAGAGGCAGGCGGCTCAGGCGCCCAGGAGCGGACACAGGTGGGGGGTGGGGGGTGGGGTGGGTAGCGAAGGGGGGGGGTAGGCAGGGGACACTGTGAGTCAGGCGTGGTCCCAACCCCCCACGCCCCGAAGCAGACCCAGGCAGGGGGGCGGGGGACACTGCGAGTCAAGCGCGGGTCCCAGCCCCCCCACAGCACCGTCCGGCCTGACTCCTGTGGCAGCCAGCCCTGCGCAAGTCAGGCGTGGGTCCCTACCCCTCACAGGGTGCCTCCTCGAATAGCAGGAGGCGGGGCGATTTCAATCGCACGCTGGGCCTCTAGCCTCCAATAATATCATTTCACCCTTCAGACCTCAGCTCAAATACCTTCTCTTCAAGGAAGTTTTTGAATCTCTCTCTCTCTCTCTCTCTCTCTCTCTCTCTCTCTCTCTCTCTCTCTCTCCCTCTCTCTTACACACACACACACACACACACACACACACACACAATTTACCATTTACCCTCACACTTAATACAGGCCCTTCTTTCCTCGCCCATGGCTCTCTATGACACTTACTGTGCTTAATTACCTACCTGCATTGTTACTGTTAGTGTGTCTCTCCAACAAGACTGACACATACTCATTAATTGCTAAGCAGAATCTGTATCTGGTTTGTCCATCATTATCTATCCAGCAGCCAGGGCAGTGCCTGGAACCTAATAAGTGCTCAATATGTTGTAGATTTTTAAAAAGAATAAGTGATATGTAAATTAGTGTAAATCAATGGTTGTGTGATCTATTTCTGCTGAAGAAACTCACTTAGAGGCAGTGTGAAATCATTATGTAATAATACCTCGATAGATAGACACACACACAAGCATGGATATAGATCCTGAACAATGGGATCACACATAGAAAGCAGAAATGTAACTATGCTATTAGGTAGTACTTCTATAGGAATTACTTAAATATGTTTTCCATATCTCACTTTGCATATATATAAAAATCTATCTTCTGCAGGTATTTTTTAGTCCATTAAACAGATTATCTGCAACCACCCCCTCCCTGTGGCTCACTCCACTGCTTGACTTTGGCTCAAAACCAACAGCAATTCTTTACTTGGGGTAAAGAATCGATGGATTCCCTTGGTGACTCCAACCCAACACTGTTTCATTTTCTCCTTCATATTAGACAGGAAACACTAAAATTCTGGGAACAAGATGTGTGTCACACATTGGAAATGTTCGTATCTGCTGATAACACTCAATCTACCTCGGCTAAACACATGAGGAAGCCACATGGTCACAATCTAACGGATCATAGAACATAACTAATAAACTGAAGCAACATTCCACATGTTATCACTTTCAGCTTTGCACAACATGTGGAAAAAGGCTCACGCGCCGCTTGGTCATGTCAGAACATCTAAGGGAGGAGGATGCACGTTTGGTATTTATTATGGTCACTCACCTAAGGGAAGTGTCCGAAGGAGTGCACTACAACCTCCACATGTCTGTATCTAATAGATTTCTTACTTTCTAAAGGAGTATTTTCTAAGATATTTTACCTTTGAGATGCTTGGGCTATTTATGTAGCCCTGGTTGTTTTGAATACTTGAAAATAAAAAGTACTGATAAGAAATTTTTTAGACTTGAAAAAAAAACAACTATTTTTTTTAAGTATTGCAGCATTTGCATGCACTCAAATAACTGAAAAATCCTGGTTGTTTCATCCAACACTCTCCCTGCCACCCACAAAGTAACAGATATTATCTCCTGTTTTATGGACTTCAACAATTCAAGTTATAAGCCTCCTTGGTGAGTAATTTTTCTCATGCTAAAGAAGGAACATGAAATAAATTAGGAAAATCGTATAAGCCAGAAAAATAATACTAACATCAATAAAATCTCACAAAAACAATACTAACATCAACAAATCTCACAAAAATTTCACTAAGAAAAGTGAAACTCAATTTTGGGAGCTTAGCAGTTCAAACAAATGGACATTACAGCATTACATAGTCAATTGCTGTTAGAAAGAAAATGTCAAGCTGAATGCTTGAGCCCTCTTGTTAAATTCCTTTTTTATCAGTAATCAAACCTTCAATGCATTCCTCACAACAGGTAAGGCAAGGTGTCAACCACTAAGAATCTTCTATTCATAGCCAGAAGCTATGCCTTCTCTAGTCTAATTAACAAGGAAACCAAATCTCTCCAAAGAAGTAAATCTACTCCCTAATTAAACTAAGCAAACCTGGGTCAGGTGTCTCAGAAATGATCAACTTGATCACTGATTCTGTAGTTAAAATATTGATGAGTCCATATCCACTAATCAAGGTATCAGTAAACTCCATAAAATAAAAGAAGTCTAAGAAAAGTGCTATAAGCAGATCAATTTTACATGTGAGCTTCAAATAGGGAAAGAAAACCTTCATAAGCCAAAGTCATTGCTATCTTAAAAATCTTAAATATGAGAAGCAAAAGAAATTTTACTATTCTAGTGATGAAACTGTTTTCTAGTGATTAAAATGCTTTACATATGTTACATCTAGTGATATAAATATAGCATTTTAAAAGATGAGCTGAGAGGGAAGTAAGGGAATGGTTACAAGGCTGTACTCGTTTACAGTTGTCTGAGAGTCACATTTATGAATTTATACCATTGAATGCTGTCCCAATGGGTTGTTCCAACATTAAATAAAAGAAGCCAGTTTTGTGTGTGTATTACAAATATTTGAAAAATATATATTCTCATCCAAATTAACTGTTCTTTAAAAATATTTTTTAGCCCTAACCGGTTTGGCTCAGTGGACAGAGTGTCGGCCTTCGGACTGAAGGGTCCCAGGTTTGATTCCGGTCAAGGGCATGTACCTTGGTTGCAGGCACATCCCCAGTAGGGGGTGTGCAGGAGGCAGCTGATCGATGTTTCTGTCTCATCCATGTTTCTAACTCTCTATCCCTGTCCCTTCCTCTCTGCAAAAAAATCAATAAACTATATTTTAAAAAATTTATTTTTTTATCAGTTTGGCCAATTATCAAAATTGTTTCTTCCAACACAAATGGAATTGTTTTAACTATACAAATATTCATAGTTGTATGCAGCCCATAATTACTTTTTATTATTTTAAAGATGAGCAAAGCATATCGTATGTCATCACCCACATCATAAATTCAGATTTATTCAAAATACCTTACCTTCTAGAAATTTAAGTTATGATAACTGTCCAAATATTTAACTTCACTTAAAATTATTTCAGCCCAAACCCAAAACCCAAGAAAAACCATTTCAATGGAATATTTAATTTCACTTTCTGTATAAAGCTAGATTCTCTTGCTGTTTTAGCATAGTCCTAAAAGACATTTCGTTGCTACAGCAACCAAACTCTGCTACCTGTGGCCATGATTTGTTAAGAATTCCCCCAACCAGAAAATTCTGTGCTCTAAGCAACATAAAAATTAAGGTCTGACTTCCTGCTTATGATTTACTCTCACACATGTTTATAACATGTATACATAAATGTACACATACATACATCATTATGGCTCTCCCAAATCCATCAGCAAAGTAAAAACCATGACAAATTTCCATTTTAAAGAGGTCACAAAAAGCTGCTGTGTTTTAGGTTTCAGTGAATTGCTACTTGTTTCTGAAAAGATAATAGAGATTATCTGGAGGAAATTCAAAAACAAGAAAATTGATTATGTATATCCAGTTTCATTCCAAAAGGGGAGCAAAATAATTTCCTATCTGTTACAGCACGTGTGGCTTTTTGTAGCAATAGGCTGATTTAGAAAACAGCAGGTTGAAGAATAAAGAAAAAAAAAATGTGGTCATTACCACACCATCATTAAGCAAACTGCTTCTGCAGGCTACTCACCCTCACGGGGGGGCTCCAGGCTTGCACACGCGGCTGCTGTCCACCCTGGGAGCTCGGCAGATCTTTCGAGCAGCAGTTAGCCACCGAGCTGCTCTGAACTCTCAATGCACTGGTGCAGTTCGTCCCGCTGCCCCCACCAGGGCCAGGCTTCCAAGGCCTCTGCTTGATACCATCCAGAAGTCTGACCAGCAGGATGTTACTTGGAAGCTCCTCGACACCGGAGCCAACCAGAGTCCTGCACTCGGGACATCTGAGTTCATTTCGGGACCCTACGATCCCCAGCAAACACCGTTTGCAAAACGTGTGCTGGCAAGGCAAAACCTTGGCAGAAGCATCCAGCCGCTCTAGACACACAGGACACTCCAGAAGATCCAACAAGGCAGATTCATCCATCTTGATCGTCTACTGAGGGAAAGCTTCAGAAATGTTCATAGTTGTATGCAGCCCTTAAAGTGATTCATGTAACATCCATTTCAGACTGTGCTCTGGAGTCACGGGAGGGGGGAGTGGGGGGTGCGGAAAGAGGAGGGAGGAAAAAAAATAATAACTATTGTTATCTGGGGAAAAGGCTCACAGAGGAGCCAAGAACCAAAAAGTACACAAAAGTGCTTCCTCTGAATATCAGTGCAGCTTTGCTTTGGAATGTGGTTCCTGATCTCCAAAGCCAACAATTAAAAACAAAATGGGCTTTTAAAAACAATTCAAAATTAATCCCTAGCGATAGTGAGGAGTTCACTGTGCAGAAACAGCTATGAAGTCCTCCCCGGGATTCGTGCAATAAATAGGATTTATGAAATGCAATAAAGACCATAATTTCTTCGGCTCTCAAAGTGCTATGAGCTGCCTTAATAGAGTCCTCAGCTCGTATGGGAAGCTGAACAGAAGCAACTGAAAGTTTTCTCCACCTGAAATTACTTTTAAATCCAACAAATTCCCCATTTTTTAAGATACCTCAGCGTCTAAGAAAAACCATGCCTCATGTGATCACTTGTGGTAAATGATCCCAATATTGAATACATATGTTTCTTCGCTGGCCTTAAAAATAGCACCGTTTAATCCTGCCCACACCAAAACGAGCCGAAGGTTGTGACAATGCTAAAGGACACCACGAAAGATCCGCCTGAAAGCAGCTGAAATATACAAGCAGCCTTCAGGGCAGCGGTTGACAAACTCGGAACCGGATTTCTGAACGGCCTGTCCTACTCCCATTCAGAAAACCTGGCAAAATTATCACCTGAAGAATCTGGCCATGGAAGGCTGCACTGGGAACTGGGGGCATCCTAGGAACACGGGGCCATTCAGGGAAAAGCCTTTCCACCCGGGACTGCGCCGCTCTCCCACCGCCACCAAAATACAGGGAAACGTGAGCGTCTAAGAGAAAGAGGGGGCGAAAAGGTCTGGGTGGGAGCGTTCACAGTTTGTTCCTGACATATCGGGGCGGGGGGGAGCCGGGGACTGCACCCCCTCCGTGGCCGCCCGCACAGGTGACCCCAACCCCACGGAAGGGGCGGCCGCTCGCTGCAGAAACACCCGGGCCCGGGGCGATTGTACCCGTTTGAATAACAAGTTTTCAATTGGGCTGTTGGCCGGTCTGTGTGCGTTTTGGGGTCA